TTTTATAAAATTATTTAAATATTTTTAATATATTTTTAATATATTAATTCATTAAAGATATTTAAATAATTTTATAAAAAATTTAATAATTTAATTATCAAAATATTTTAATTTTTTTCATAATTCTTTAAATTATATTTTATTACATAATATAATTCATTTTATTAAAATGAATTCTTTGATATTAAAGTTTTTTTATTTTTAATACTTTAAATATTATAATTTAAATTTTTTTTTGTACTAACCTCTTGATATTCGGTAATCACATTGGTTCACGATTAATTTAAAATCAAGTCGCGTCGATCCTATAAAGAGAAAGTTTTTTAAACATCTATTTTTTTATTTATAATACTCGAATTTTATTTAAAAGAAATCAAATTTTTTCTGTTCAAATGAATAAATAATTAATAATATAATTTTTATTGTAATATAAAAAAAATTTAAATTGCATATTTATTAAGTTTTTCAGACTGAAATATGGAGAACTTTTTTTTGGATTTTTGAATTCATTCTTTTGCAGAGGGGATAAATGGGGTAGGGGTGTTTTGATCACAAAAATTTGACATTATGGATATCAGAGGGACAATAATGGTTATTTTGGGTAGGGGATGTAAAATATGATGGTGTGCTAGGGACGTTCCAAGATTCGCAATGATGGTTTTGGATTGGTTCGAACAATCATAACCCCTTCATCTTCTCTTCCCCAATGCCACCATCAAATCCTCTTTTGTTTTAACTCCTCCTCCTTGCATTCTTGGACCCTTTTTATTATCTCTTTCTTAATTTCTCCTCTTGCTTTGGCAATTGTAAGTAATAATCATTTTGTTTTGTTCTTTTGGCTTTGCTGAAGTTTTGTTGGGTGTTGAAATGGCGATTTTGCATTTCTTCCTTTGCATTGATAGCCTACAACTTTGCCACCATTTCACTGTAGTCACCAATTAGTATGTCTACTTATTAGGTTCACATCAAAATTATGTCTACTTATAGGTGCAGTTTTGAAATCGTGTTCAAATTGAGTTTTTTCTACTCAAAAATATATGGCTGAGTTTTTAATTTTACATGGGAGATGACACCTCTCTCAAATTTCATTAGTCCAGGTGGTTTTGTTACGGCTCAAACCGTCCTCTACTTTCCTAGAGGACGGAATTTGGTCACGGGGTCAATAAAACTTTAACGTGTTTAATAGTGTTTGGTTTTGGGAATTTAAAATAAAAAATTTTAACATATACCTTAAAAAAGTAAGATTTAAAAATATTTTTATTTTATTTTTTATTATTAATTTATATAAAAAAAATTTAATTTAGTTTTATCAGTTATTTATTAAATTATTTTATATAATATTAATGTTAAAAACAAAATTTATTTTTATAATTTTTCATACAAATTAATATTAAAAAGTGAAAAATAAATGCACTCTAAAAAAACACATTTAAACTTAATGATTAATGATTTTGTTTAATTTAATAATTGATAATAAATTAAAATTTATTTATACACAAATTTTACATAATCTATTTATACAAAATTATAACTATTCATCTCTCTATTTTTAATAATTAAAATTTATTTATATTTATTAAAAATAATTATTTTTTATTTAAAAATTATGATAAATCTTAATAATTAAAAATAAATAATAAATAATTAATATTTTATATAAATATATATAACTGAATTCTTTCTCATTGATAATAATGGTTAATGTTATTATTCATAATTCTAATATTATGCTTAAAGTTTAATCTCCCATGTCAAACATTCTTTTTTATTATTATTATTTTGAACAATTTACAATTTTTAAGAATTGAGAGAGGAAAATTTTCAAAATATTAATAGAGTTTGAAACCTCCACTAATTTACTTAAGTATCTTAAATTTAAGGACAACCACTTAGTCCCGAAACCCGATTCATGTCAAAACATTCTCTTAGTCCAACGTTATGTTTATTTTGTTATAATTTGTATATAACTAATTTAGTGATTGATTTCCGTTAAAAAAAAATTAGTGATTGATTTGGATTGAAAGTCTATAATACGTTGAGTGATGGATATGAAATTGATTTGTAACTTGTACTTTATTAAATAGATTACAACTAAGCCACAACATTATTGTTGAATCTTTTTAATTTTGAAAAAGAAAGTTAAAAATGTTCCATGGCTAAATGACCATTTTAGCCTTGAAGATTTAAATTGTTTGAAACATTGATTATGTTATTGTTGTTTTTTTTTTCTTCTTTACCTCTTAATTCACTTACTTACACACCTGAGTTATATGATTTGACAACTATATGTCTTTAGTAAAGTGCATCCCAACTCGAGAATTGAAGTTTGAATCTTTTTTTTCAAAATATAAGTTTGTTAAAAAAAAAAAAAATTCACTTGTCTACGTATCATATAATTTAAATTAAAAAAATTTTAATCTATTTAAATGAAAGATTATCCTTGGGCAGCTAAGGTCGTTGGCTGATGATGTTATCTTTTAAGAGTACGTTAATTACGGTGACAACGAACTTTAATGTGAAATTTATGAGCTTTTTTTGGCTTTGAGGTTGAAATAATCATAGATTATGAGTGGCTGAACGTGGAACATCATGGGTGACAGGCAGTTGATGATTTGGATTTGGATGGGCATAAGGGTAAAATCGTCAAACTATTTTTCATTCCCCTCATGGAGCTCGTTCATCTATATACGCTTTTATCTCAGTTTGCCCAATTTGCTCTTCCCCCTTCCAATCTTTCAATTTTCCTTTATAATAAAAATAATAATTTTGCAAAAATAAAAAATAAAAATTGAGGACTTTGTTAGGAAAATTGTGTCCATTTTTACTTTTATTATTTTACAGTTAATGGTATTCCTATTATGCTATCCATGTAATCTCAATTTTGGAACTTTTTGAGATTTCATTCATTTTGCTTCACTTGTTAGTTCTTTTTTTTTATTTTATTTTTAAATTTGGGTAAAGGTCTCACTTGGTTGCATGTGTTTTCGAGATGAATGCTGAATGAATTATTTATGGGGCAAATCGATGCAAAAAAATGTTTCTTGGCAGAATATGCTAAAAGGTACTCTTCTCAGACTAACTGCAACTCTGTATTTAAATTCAGATTTTATGGCTGCTTGCAAGTGCCATTATATCAAATCCCTTTTCAGCTTAAATCTTCTTTGTTTAATAGAAGATAAGATTTCGAAGTTAGATTTTTTTTTTCCTTTTTTTTTTTTACTTTGAAATGTTCGAGTTTCAGGGTGGGAAATAGCTAAAAAATGAAATTCGTAGAGCTTTGTAGCGTGTGTAGGTTGAAAGAAATGAGAGGGAAAGAAATGAATTTTTCTTTAATTAAGGTAAGGAAAGGGACTAAATTCATTTAATTGGACAAAAATCCCTTTATTTCTACCCAATCACACTGATTTTTTTTTATACGTAGAGACTAGTAATTAAATTTAAAATATGTGATTAAAAATATAAGTAATACCACTATCATCCACCAAATCACATTGTTTGTGTAGTACTAAAAGACCGTAAAATATGTAAGTAGGTTGCTAAATTTAATTTCTATTACATAAAAGTCAAATTCTAAATAATTCAAATTAAAACTAAGTTTAAGAATTGGAAACTAAACTCAATTTTCAAACTCAAACTTCACCGAGTTTAGAAGAATTGAGCTTGAACTTGATAAGCCTATCGAGCTTAGACTTGAACTCGAGCTCCAACTTACCAACAAACCTTCAGAAGTCACATTCTAGCTGAATCAGCAATGAAAAAACTGAAGAGAACTACACCCTGTTCTAGTTGTAGCTGGACCATGTGGAGCAGCTCTAGTGCATAAACCTTTTGCTTTAATTTTAATTCCCTTTTGAGAGCTAGAAATAATGCTCTACTGTACCTAGCCTCCAAGTTCATGCATAGATATAGTGGTTCCACCAATCTGTTATTCAAACCATATGATTCAGTCAACAAAATCCATAAGGGGGACAAAAGAGAGTCTGCCTGCCCAAAGTTGCTACAGTGAGTAGTTAATTGGCTCAAGTGTGTGAGAATTAAACAAGTCTAGGGTTTTAAATCCCTTCTGAAACAACCAATGATGGCAAACCCCAATAATAATTGTCTCTCCCCCCCTTTCTAATCCTTCAAACCCCAATAATCTTGCCTTTTGCAGGAAATTTTAGTTCTCAATGAACAAAAAAGTAAAAAAGAAAATTTGGGTTCATGAGGAGAGTAATTAGGAGACCCTGTATTCATAAATGTGTATGGCAGTGCTCTAGAGATTTGCATGGCCACAGGCATTCATGAATCATCATCATCATTATTTTCTTTCATACTTTTTTCTTCCATCCTCTGTTCGACATTTACCTGTAAACTACAATTAAGACCCAACTGGATTTACCCAAAACAGGAAGGGGTGAAAAGGGGAAGAGATATGATTACATCTCCTATAGGGAAGGAGTTTAGTTTGATGCTATGAACGTGAAAGCATTGAAAACCCCTTTTTGTTTTGTAATAATGGATGAATCTAGCCGATGCAAGGGAATTGTCATTTATCTTCATTTATCTTTCTCCAGTACCCCAACAGAAAAACATCAAACTTGAACTTTCCTACGTGGACTAAATCTTGCGGATTTTATTGGTGGGACTTATGGTTTAAATGAGCTACAGTGGATATCATCAGTGTTTGCAAGGAGTTTCAACATGGTGTGAGGTCATGGTTTAATCATGTCACATAATGCCAATCCCCTGCATGGCTAATGATGAAAAATTTTGCATTATGGTGCTTAGCAAAGCGTTTTCAAACCCTACACGTGAGCTTAGGGATTTAGATAATGGTAACTTTAAAGAATGGCGATTTTAGGGGACCACCAGCCATAAAAGCCCCCCTTCCATTAACCCATTAGTTCACACAAGTGGAACTTTAATGAGAAGAAGACAGGTCCATAAAGATTTGCTAAAAGGATATAATTACAATGTCATGTACCAATATAAACTTACAATCATAATATATTATCACGTAATTAACTCTTTTTATTTAACTCTTTTTATTTAAAGGTCTATTCGTAATATTATATATAATTAGATATTTAATGACATATCATAATTATAAATTTATAATTCTATGACATTAAATTCCAGGAAAAAAAATGCATGCATTCAAAGATGCACCTGTGATATCATTGCAATAAAGATTTCTATATTCATTAAACCAGTCCTTGAATTCTCGAGAAAGAGTTAGGTGGAAGTTTGAGTCCCCACAAAATCGTCCAGAAGAACCGACTGCAGGACCTTAATAGTTAGACACATTTAGTTAATTTGATCTACTTGCCATCTTCAACTGAAAAAGACACTATTCCACAGTATCATTAAAAAAAAAAAATGTAGAAAAGGTTACAGGTTCCACATCAGATACTCGACCAACATCAGATGATCGCATGCCCCTAACTCAATTATATTTATATAGCCAAACATTTAGTTATTAGCAAGCCAAAAGCAGTTATATATTTACTTAAACAAAACGGCACCAATAATATCCATAATCCCTGTAGGACCAGTCTACTAATTACTGCCTTACCCACAGTTACTGTGTAAAGGATCAACATTTATGCTATGCAGCCATTTGGGAAAATCTTTAAGTTCACATCAAAGCTAAAGAAGCAAGTAAAGCAGCATATTTGACTTTAATGAACATCATTATGAATGCAAAAGATTAGTGTTCAGATTTTAGGGGGCATGGTAAACATGTTTTTGATTACCCACGGCAAAATTATTACAAGCTATTGATGAAGGCCACATTGATAGAGATAGGACAAAGTTGAGGAATTCACCTAGCAATAAAGAGAACCTCATTAGGCTTGTGGGTGGGCTGTGATATTGTCAATTAGGTGAGCTGTTGTTGCAATTTTCTGGCCATCATTGTCAGGGATGTCAAGTGCAAATTCTTCTACCACGGCCATCATTACTTCCACATTATCAAGCACATAAAGTTGCAAGTCTTGCTTAAAATTGGCAGTTGTAATCACCTGCAAAGAGTAATGGAGTTCTAAAGCTTTTTGCTCTAAAGAGAAAGAATGCATGACAAATAAAGGAAGATGAAACTATGTCATTGCTGAGATAAGACAATTCTCACACCATATCACCAGTTCACCGCAAAGAAAATAATTGCTACACAGGTTTTATTGGATAACCGGTACCCATATTTCAATACCTGGCAACCTTTCCCTTTGGTTAAATAATTTTCTTCAACCCATGGAAAAACAAAAAATGAAGTTTCTTATGTTAACATGTAACTCTTATGAAAGTGCAAGCAATAGTTTTTGAACGGCACCATGAAAGAAATTTTGTTAATATAAACAAATATAATAGTCTTTAAATAACCTTATCCAAGAAGAAAGAAAAACTCTTTCACTAACATGCGCAAGAATAAAAAAGCAAATCAAGAAAAAGTAATAACAAAATCTACACTTTCAAGAAAGAATATTTTGTTAGTTGAATACACCTCGAAGCATTTGGCTGAAAGCAAATAATGGTGGAAGTTATGGTGCAGCCTTGGTGAGGTTAGGGCTTATCATGAACAGTTTAACAAAAGCAAACAGGAATACACTTTTATTAGTGTAGGAATCTGTTCGGTTAAAGATGTGACGTTATGGGAAAGCTTTGTTGCATCAGACTTGTCTGATAGATGAACCAATTCTTCTGTGCAATTATCAATCCACAAATAGTGCGTGGGACTTATCAGAAGGCTCAGTTACAGTTGGAATAAGATCCGTTAGGCAACAGTACTTGACAAGGACCCAGAGCACAAAGTCATGTAAGGATAAACAAGTGAAATGGTATCCTAGTTGCTTTGTGACTTAGAATAACAAATCAACAATCTTAGCAAGGGATTTGTAACTTCAAAAAGCCCCCAACAAAATATAATACCATAGAGACAGGGAGAGGTGACATATTAAGACTCTTCTGTCCACATTGGCATAGAGGACAATCTAAATTCGAGTTATAAGCCGCATCACAAAGGAAGAGGATAAAGAAAAGCAATTCAGTAACTGGTATACTTTCTTATTCCAGTGCTTTTTGCAACATTACAATTATTCATATGGAAACTTACAAAATGGGATACGATCATAGCTGATAGTCCTTCAACACCATGAAATAAAACATAACAGCATCACGGAATGCACTGATGGAACACTAAAAAAACTGGCTTTAGCCATATAAATAGAATAATTCTCCACACATCTTTTTTCCAATCCAAGCCATCCAATATCCATTTAGAAAATTTGAGCAACATAGTAGATTTAATTCTACATTTGTCTAAGTAAAACAAAATTATCCCAGTTTTTCCATGTTCAAAATTAAGCTCCAAGAACATAAAAATTTTCCCACTGGACATCATAAAAATGCTTAAATTTTAACAATGATTAAAAAAGAAGAAGAAGAAGACAGAAGCGATTAAGCTTATTAGATGGATTTATCAAAGAAATGGAACAGACGCAGGCCAGAGAGTACCTTTGAAGGATCAATAAAAGGGATGGATCTGAGGAGATCAAGAACTCGAGTAGTGACTTCATGTTTCTCCAAGGAATACGCCGGAGCTGACATGGGTGTTAAACCCTAGCTCCACCTATATGCCAACTTTTGCCGTCGCAGAGATTGATGACGAAGACGCTACATTCAAGAAGCTTCCAGAAGATCGCAGAGTTCGAATTCCAGATTGAATAGCCTGCATTTTCAGCTTCCTCTTTTTTTTTTCTTTTCTTTTTTTTTGGTAAAATTTTCAGTTTCCTCTGTAACTCTGGCTTTCTCTACTCAGCCGGATTCTGTTCTTCGTTTTCCAGTGATATCTCACTTCTGGGCTTGTTAATCGTCTAACGTGACATGTCTGAAGCCCATCTCTGCCCAATCTAAAATTTGGCCCAACATGTAGTCCAAGTCCAGTCCAATAAGTGTTCATCGTTCTTCAAGCACTTGCAATAATATTGCCTAGCAGCTGTTGCTGGTCTCAAACTCTCAACTGGACGAGAGTATTAAATTAACTAAAAAAAATTGTTGCGCATGATGCACTACAGTAAATTTCTCATATAGCTACAGGCAAAAATCGTATGTATATGGTAAAAATTCATAGGTATGTCCCTTCAACTTGCCTGTACCAATAATATATTGAATTTTGTATAATTAAAAATTATTAGATAAAAACGGATTCCTTAATATTAAATATTAACTTTTATTCAATAGTTTTTATTTTACATTTCAATGTAATGTAGATTACAAAATAAAAAAAAAAGAAATTTTTAATTAATTTTTTTCATAAAAAAGGTTATATTTTAGAGATAGTTGTTAACTTATTTCAAAATTTAAATTTAACAACTTTAATTAATTTTTTTATTTTGTGTAGAGAGAAACGCAGCGGAGCGCCCCTATACTCCCCTCTTTTTGTTGATTGAGCATCATTTTTGCACGGCAAAGCATCATTTTATTTTAAAATTTTAATCAATGGATATAGAAAACAAGGATGATTGATTTTCACTTGTACATGCAAAAGCTGAAGACAATATTTTTCTTCTTATTGATGATTTTATTTGTTCCCCATGTGGGTGTATTGGTAATGAAATTCCTACAATGTAGCTTTTTTTTGGAATTGGGTCTAGACTTTACACCCTACAAGCAGCGTCCGACGAGAGGCTTTTCAACCAGACAGAATCGGAAACAACCGCCACATCATCCTGGTTCCTATGCCATGTAAACAGTGCATGCGTTGCATTCACCACCTCCAACTGCCCGTGTCCAAAGCTTGCCTCTCTGAACACCGATATCTCGGGTTGTGGATCAATGTATCTGCACAAAACATATACCATATAACGTTAAAAGAAGTAGAAGAAAAAGATTCAACTTGTTCTGAAAAACCTACTCACTTCGACGCCAAGCCTTCCCGATTGCCACCGTCCCCCACCGTAATGTGCAGCGGTCCACAATTATCTTCCTTTTCATTGTAAACACGAGTCTGCCATAGTATAAATATATAAATGATTAATATCAACATAAAAACTTATTTTCAAGTTGATATGCATTAATTTTGAATTTTTTCATTCTAAAATTATTAATATTTACTGTTAAAAAATTAAACAATTACACTACAAACTACTATTACAAGAGAGAAGAAAGTCATTGGTCAAACTAGCTAAATTGCAAAATTACGGACTAGAGTGCAAAATTAAGATAATTAATTGATTTCTATATATTGGGTTTTATATGCTTAATAAATCTTTGAACTTCGTCAAATTAAAATGAGGTGTGGGAGCTTACAAATCGTTCATAAGCGTGAACATGCCCTGCAAAGACGACGTCCACGCGAGCCTTATAAAGCAATTCTTCCATGAACTTCTTCATGTCATCCGATTCGCTTTCCCCTTGATGGGCGGTGTTGGAATTGTACCATGGCGCGTGGATGTTCACCACAATCCACGGAGTTCTCTTCCGGTCAATCTTAGCCAGATCAGCTTGCAGCCACTTGTATTGATCGGAGTTAGGATCAAAATCCGTGTAGGATCCCAACATGATAACGTGAACGCCGGCCACTTCAAAGGAATAGTATAGGTTGGAAGTGGAGCCGCTTTTGTCGAATGGCATCCGCCACCTTGCATTGTAGGCGGTGAAGCGCGTGCTGTGAAGCAAGGGGATTTTTTCGATCTCATGGTTGCCTTCCGTCACCATCCAGGGCCGTTGGCTGGCCAGCGGCTCCACTAGCCGGCCGAATGAATCCCAGAGACTTTGCGAAGTATCGGCATAGGATAAGTCCCCTGGAAATAGCATTAAATCGTAGTTTGATTGTCCAATGTGTTGGAGAGTGGTGTTTGTCCATTCCGTTTGACCCAAATCGCCTGAATTTCACCAATGTGGCCCTTAACATTAATAACATGTATTCAACTTAATAACATGAAATTTGAGTTGTTAATAGTACTACCAAATTTACTGACCTATCCAGAAATAATTGATAATTGCTTCTTTTTTTTTTGTTTAATTATGTATTTAAAAATATTTATATTACCAATAACAATAAAGTGAGAGATATGAATATGACAAATTATAAGAGATTTGAATATAAAATATTTCGAGGTTAACGTACCTGCGACAACGAATTTGATTGGGAGTTGAGAGGGTGGGGTTTTGAAGTTGAATTCACGAGCTGAATCTTGGCTACAGCGGTAGTAGTAGACGGTGCTTGGTTTCAACGGACCAATGACTACATCATGGATCTGGCCGGACTTGTAAAGAAGGTAGCGGTATGAGTTGTTAGTGCCGGTGGCCGAAAACTCATATTTCCCTGAAGAAGTACCATATTCAACAGTTGCAGAAGCCTCATCATCGGTAATCCAAGATATCCTCATTTGGTCTACACCAACCAGAGAAATGTGTACCTACTCCAGCAGAATTTTTTTAAAAATTAATGATTAATAATGATAGTAATATAATTAAAAATTGTTTTGTAGTATGTACTACTACAAATACTCTCTTCCTTAAATTTTAATTGCCCTACTTTTTAATTTAGAGGATTTAAAATTAATTTTTTATTTTTTCACTTTAAAATGTCATTTAATACATTTATATATTTTTTATATTTATTTTTAAAAAATAATTACAACACTGTATTGTAATAGTAAGTATACATATTTAATTAGGTAGTAGTTAATAGAGGATAAATGTAAACATTTGTCAATTAATTACTATTTTACTCTTATTTCAAGAAGATACTAATTTTTATTTACATGGTGATTAATTTAGAACAAATATGAAATTTTATTGATTAATTACTACATCTTATTTTATTGAAAACAAAGTTAGCTAACTAAAATTAATCAATTGAATGAGTCTTAATTATGGTCCTAAGTCCTAACCCCCCTAGAACTCCTCTAATTAAGGCCATTACCCCTCAACATACACTTTTTGTACTTGAACCTATAAATTTCCCATTATTATTGTAATTAGATTTAAATAAATAGAATTTTATCATGCGAGTCACATAGTTGTCTCTCTACTTTGTTATCCTATTTTTGTCAGCGTTATGCTAGCATAAGTATGGCTACTTGGACCCATGAAGGAGGGAAATTTTTTGCCAAAAGTTAAATATGACCCATATGTGTTTTTCCCAAATTTTTTATCTTCATGGATCCAAGTGGACCATGTTTATACCAAAATGGCACTTATAAAGATATAATAGTAAAGTAAGATAATTATGTGGCTCATATGATGAGATTGTCTATTTTGGACCAATTACAGTAATAATATGAATTTTATATTATGGACTAAAATACATAAAGTGTAAGTTGAGGAACTAATGAACACAAACAAATAGTTAAGAGAGATTTCGGAGGTCTAAATTATCAATAAGGGCCTGATTGCATGAAAAGACTTCGATGACGATTGATCACTGGTGTTTTATAATCTACCCCACTACCAACCATAATAAATAAGAGATGTCTCTGTATATTTGCTGACCGAAAATAGGCTAATAGCATGCAACTACCGTGTGGGATGGGATTCTGAAATTATTAACTAATTCTTGAATGTAAAACAAAATCTATATAAAAGTGATTTATACTTAGAATTACTCTAATCAAGAAATCAAGAATCCTCCCTTTTTTTCAAAAAATATCGTCTGATCTCAGTTTCTTTAAGATCCTAATAACTTGCTTGTGATGAGTCTTGCCAACCACTTTGACTTAATGAGGTTTAGGTGTCCTCATATTCTCCCTCACCTAGTGACCCATTTTAAAACTTATCGTCCCAATTTACAAATTAAGAAATTGATATTTATAAGGTATTGTGATCTATTGCTGGGTAGAAACAAATCTTTAAAATAGAAAATTTTGGTATTCTGACATTGATACCCTAATTAGGTGAAAATAATTAGACTTTTAAAAATCTTTAATAACTTAAATAGAACAATAACCATTAAAGTAGGTGTTACCCTAACAAACAAGGGGCTCGCTAATTTGATGGTTAGTATATATTTTTCTATCCAGAATATAAAATACTTCTTTTTAAAATTAAACCTCTTTAACATTAACTAAGCAAACAAGTTAATTAGAGCTCAAAGTCCAAACTAGATATAGTAAGGAATTAAAGGACTAAAGGAAAGATTATGCTAAATATAACTATTAATGAAAAAGAGTGTGTTTTTTAGAGTTTTTTACATTAATTTTTCACCACTTCCAAGAATAATCTCTCTCAAGGTAATTTGGTGTATTTAAAATTTCTTTGAATGTTTCTCTTAAAATTTAAATTTTAAATTTGACCTATAATTTCTTTGAATGATAGCATCAATATTTAAACTATGAATCTAATTTAAAAAAAACACTTAATTATCAGTAAAGCTAACTTTTGGAATTGCACACAATTTTGATTTTTTTTACTTTAAATAGTTAGTTTTTGTGTTGGCAAATATTAGTTTATATATACTAAATTGTCACTATTTAATAAAAATTAATTATCTTATCAATTATTAATTAATAATATAATTATTAATTATTGTTGTCGATTAAACTAAAAAGAACCAGCATCTTTAAATACAATATTTATAAATTTTTGTAGCAAGAACAAAGTGGCCTGTCATAAACCATGCCCGTAAATATGTATAAGGTGATCATACCTGTTCGGGGGAAGTTGAGGAGAGCATTCTCCGGCGAGGAATGTAAAGGTTCTTGCGTGGCGGAGGACGTTCATACGAAAGAACTCTGGCAACAACGACGGCGAATATAGACAACAAAAGCACTCCTCTGATTCCGGCCATGGCGGCTGGTGAAACTCTCCAAAAGATATCAAGAAGAAGAGGAGTCGTCCCCGGAGAGAAACGGTGCTAAAGGGGATATTTAAGAACGAACTTTAGATTTTTTTTCCTAAAATGTTTCCTCTATATATGGACAAGTTCCAAATGATTTAGACGTTAGTTGGATTCCTTGCCGTTTGGGTTCACGGCATTGGATATCGAAGTAATTAACTAGCCAATACCTGTGGTCGTACAGGAACATTAGAATTAAATAAAATTTGTTTTTAATTTTTATAAACATCATATTTTATTCAAATATAAAATATTATTTACTCTTAGAAATTCACTGTGCAAAATAATGGGAAAATCACAAGTAAATTGAAAATGTATTTTTTTCAATTCTTTAACATAACTATGGATTTGTACAGATATTTCTTTCTCATATCAGTTTAAAGTATCATTAATATTTTTATACAAATTTAATACTAAAATATGTAAAGATTTTTTTAACATGCATTTAATGGTATATTTATTATATCTTTTTTATAGTAAAAATTATTATAAAAAGTAAAAATTAATACTAATTTTAATTATTATGTAATTAAATTCATCTAAATATAAACGATACAAATTAATATCAATTTTTGTATTTTTTAATGTAAATTAATATTAAAAAAAGACAATAAATATAGACAAAACCATATATTAAAACTTTGAACTTATTTTCAAATTTTCAATTAAACTTTTAAACTTGTATTCAAATAAATAAATTCTTAAATTTGATGATTTAGATAATTTAATCTCTTATAGTAAATTTAATATATATTTGTGTCTTACTTATGTGAATAACATCAATATCCTATATCTAAGTAATAACATATCAATAATTTATCTATACAAATAAAAAAATTAAATTATTTGAATCGTGAAGTTGAATAATTTATTTACTTAAATAAAAATTTAAAAATCTAATAAAAAGTTTAAAATAAGTTGGGGACTCGCATCGGGTTTTGCCATATCATGTTTTCTAAAAAAAATTCATATTTAAAAATTTCCAAGCCCCCATTTTTTCCTACTACGGTTCGTTTAGCCTTTGAGTTGGGTTCTTTGTAATTTGGGTTCATGCCATGGCATCGGATATTGAAGTAATTAGATCTCTCAGGCCGACACGTAGAGCTTTGAAGTGCACGTGTACCAAAGAAATGCCAGGAATAAAATTTTCTTTATATATATGTAAAGGATTAAATTAGTTTTAAATAACTTCAGGGGCTTCCATGGTTTTCTTACTTTTTTTGAACAGTGTGGAACTTATTTCGGGGAAGGGGGACTTATTTCGGGGAAGGGGGACTTGGGATTTGATCCCAAATTTCGCTAGTCCTATGTACGTTTCATAAGGGGGTGGTTAACAGGCCACCAAATACGAGACCCATGGTTTTTTTACTTTGTGCCCGGGGTTTTAAATAATCATTTACTAATATTTAAAGATTTATAATTCTTAATTATTTTATTTGTATGAAGTACCAAACTCTTTATATTAGTGTTATAGGTTTTACCCAACTTATTTATCTTTTATACATAACCTATATGACATGGTATACTATGTACTGTAATTGCTTTTTAATTATTAATC